GATGCTTCTGCTAACCCACTCACAGCCTGGGCACCAAGTGAACGCAAAGAGAAAGCAGGGACCCGCTCCCATGACGTGGGGGGTGGGGTATCCTCTCCTGGTAAGGTCTAAGGGTGGGTGCTGTGAGGCACCAGTCCAGCTGAACAGACCTCAGCGAGCTGTGCTTATCCCTCCCTCTAAGGATCAGCCTCAAAAAAGAGAGAAGGAATGGGGGACATGAGGGAGAAAGCCCTCCCACATCAGATGTGGGAGCAGGAGAAGAAAATGAGTAAGAGAAACAGTGACCACCTGTCTGATGTGAAAACCATCCAAATGAGTAAGAGGAGGAGACCACCTGTCTGATGTGAAAACCATCCAAATCCTAAAAAAAAATGAGAGAACCAAGGCATTAAACTTCACGCCTCTGAGAACACGTTTGCTTTTATGAGGAGATTACTGTTAAGTGCCACCCAGTCGGTTTTGACTCATAGCAACCCTATCCCAGATTTCCCTGGCTGTAAATCTTTACCTGAGAAGAAAGCCTGATCTTTCTCCTTCAGAGCAGCTGGTGGGCTCAAACCACCAATCTTGTAGTTCCCAGTCCAGTGCTAACCCTAACAAAGCCACCGGCACTCCCTTATGAGGAGATAGACACATACAAATCACATACCACCAATCCACCCATTTAAAGTGCACACATCAGTGACCTTTAATACCGTCACAGGATGTGTTAATAACCACCACCATCATCTAACTCTCAAACCTTTTCACTATCCTAAATGAAACTCTGTACCCCATTCCTCCCTCCCCACCTACTCTGGATATTCACTTAAATGAAACGACCATACAACATGGGGCCTTTTCTGTCTGGTTTCTTACTCTTAGCATATTGGTTACCAGGTTCAACCACATCTAGTCTGCATCAGGACTTTGTTCCTTTTCAGGGCTGAGTGTATAAATTCCATTGTGTGTATATACCACATTTTATGTATCATTAACACTCAAGATGCTCCTAGTTTGGGGCTCTTATGAATAATGCTGCTACGAACATTCATGAACCTGTTTTGGTACGATATGTTTCCTTCTCTTTAGGATATTTACCTAACGGTAGAATTTCTAGGTCCTATGGTAGCGTAGTGGTTACGAATCAGGCTGCTAATCTCACGGTCAGCACTTCAAAACTACCAGCTGTTCTGCAGGAGAAAGATGAGGCTTTCTGCTCCTGTAAAGATTTACAGCTTCGGAACCCCTGTGCAGGGTTGCTATGAGTCGGGACCGACTGCACGGCATGTAACAACAACAAATGGAAATTCTGCTTAATTTTTAGAGGAACCACCAAACTGTTTTCCAAAGGGGCTATACCATTTTACATTCCCATCAGCAATACCTGAAGATACCAAGTTCTTCACCTCAGGGAGGAAGGCAGATTTTAATCCCAATTTGATACTGTTCATTGTTTTTGTTAAGTGCCAACGAGTCAGTTCCAATTCACACCAACCCTGTATAAGGTTTCCAAAAATGGCTGATGGATTTGAATTGATGACCTTGTAGTAACCAATCCAATGCTTACACTTTGTTAATTGCCACAAGTCAGTTCTGATTCATAATGACCCTGTATAGGTTTCCAGAGGAGCAGCTGGTGGGTTTGAACTGCCGACCTGTGGTTCCAGAGCTGATCCTACAGGGCGATACCAGCAGTGCTTATGCTAAGACAAGAATAATACTGCTATTACTAATAACAAACACTGACTGAGTACTTCATGCACGCAGGCACTTTATATGCAGCATCTCATCTAGTCTCCACAACAACTGAGAGCTCAACTGTGTTGTGCTGAGATCCAGCTACTCAGCCACTTTTCCAGCGAAGCTGTACAAGAGTCAGCTGGAGGCTCCAGCGTCTTTGAAACCCAAATGAAACTTCAAGGCAAAATGGGATCTGAGCCAAGTAGACCCAAGGAGAGAAAAACATCAGCAGGCAAAAGAGGACAGAAAAGAGAGTGGGCGGGCCAAGGGTAAAGATGTGATGTCACTCACTCGGTGGCCACGCCCACTCAGCACAGAGAAGAAAGTGGGCAGGACAAGGGTAAAGATGTGATGTCACCTCGCTCAGGGCCACGCCCACTCAAAGCCCTGGAGCTGAGCAATAGCCAGTCTTCAGCCGGGTTCAACTGCTCGCCCCCAGGGCAACCTCCACTGAGGTGACAAGATGGTCACCAGGTCCCTCCTCAAGCAGGGACCGCCCAGCCCTCACTGGCCCCAGCAGCTCCATCCTTACCTGTTTCAAACACTACCTCTGTAAAGGGATTCTTTTGAGGTTAAACTATTTTGCCTCTGGATGGTTGAAAACCCGCAAGTCTAAGTGGTTACAGCCACACAGTAGTAGGAAGGTCTGTAGTAGGAAGGGACATGCAACCGAGCCCGGATGGGGCTTACTGTCTTGCTGGCACAGCATGCTCAGCTGGGTGGTCTCTGTTATCCCTAAACAATGCTGGAAGACCACCACCCCCTCCGGTGAGAGGGAGGGCAAAGGAAGGTTCAGACTGACAAAGCAGCTGTTTGGAGATCACCGGGACCTGCCCCCAAATGAGCTCCTAATGCCCTGACCCACACTTGCCTCTCTTCTGAAAACCTTTTCTATTACTGAGACTCAAGGAAGGCCCACAGATAAATGTCAGCCCTGAGGCAGCCTCCAATCTGACCCCACAACCAAGATCTCCAAGCAGAGTGCCCATGAAAAAGGCTTTCGATGTATCATAGAGTAACCAGCTCTGGGTCCCATGATCAGCCCACACTAGGTATTACACATAAAACCCACTGAAAAGCAATAATTTTTTTGATGAAGGAAATGAGGGTAAATTGCTACAATTTGATGAACTTGACCTACACTCATGGAGGTAGTAGCTCAAAATACCAACAGAGAGGCAAGGCGCCTGACCCAAGCCATGGTATTTTCAATAACCTCATATGCATGCGAAAGCTGGACAGTGAATAAGGAAGACCGTTGAAGAATTGATGCTTTTGAGTTACGGTGTTGGAGGAGAATATTGAAAGTGCCATGGGCTGCCAAAAGAACAAACAGATCTGTGTTAGAAGAAGTGCAGCCAGAGTGCTCCTTGGAGGCCAAGATGGCCAAACTTCATCTCTCAAAATGAGGTCACTGAGTACACATGGACAGATGGATGGACTGAAAGGCTGACGAGGAATTGGATATTTATTGTTTCAAAAGATCTTCTGTAAAAGGTGGGCTTCCAGGAGATACTACCTTAGTCAAGTGAATGATCAAAGTGAACATCATTAGCAGTGATGCTCTACTGACAGGGAGCCGTGAGTAAAAGGCAGCATCACTTCTGTGATGTGGCTGCCAAGGATGCACACGGTGACTCTAACCACAGGATCAGACAATGCCAAGTGGAGGAATGTCTTACAAAACAACTGGTCTAGAACCTTCAAAAGCATCAAGGTCATGAAGGCTGAGAAGTGTCTGAGATCTATAACCTGTAGACTATTAGCCAAAAGAACCAACAAGTCTGTGTTGGAAGAAGGATAGCCAGAATGCTCCTAAGAAGCCAGGATGGCCAGCCTTCATCTCTCATACATCGGAAAGAACCAGTCCCTGGAGAAGGACATCATGCTTGGTAAAGTGAAGGGTCAACGAAATAGGAGAAGACCCCTCCCCCCACATGAGATGGGCTGACACAGTCGCAGCAAGAAGGGGTTCAAATGTAAGAACTAGCATGAGGATGACGCAGGACTGGGCATCTGCTGTGTCCTGTTGCCCTGCCCACAGGATTGTCCAAAGGGTTGCTGAGAGCCGAAACTGACTCACTGGCATGCAACAAGAAAGAGGTATAACAACAAAACGCATTGATTTGTTCTCAACTGCACCTTTTGCTATAAAAGACATTACTGAGCCAACTGGCAAAACTCGAACATGATCTGGTAATTAGATGGTAGTTGTTGTTGTCAAGTGCCGTCGAGTCGATTCCGACCCATAGCGACCCTGTATAGGGTTTCCAAGAAGCAGCTGGTGAACTTGAACCGCCGCCCTTGCAGTTCAGATAACTTTGCAGTCTGACGCATTAGCCCACAGTGACACACCAGATGGTAGCAGTGATGTATCAATGTTAATTTCCTGATGCTAACAACTGTATTACTCAGGAAAATGTCTGGAGGTGATGGGACAACAGGTTAGCAACTTACTGTTAATGTGTGTGGTGAAAATATCCACAGCAAAACATTCATCAAAAGAACAGCTTCCACATTTACAAGTCAAACGAATGCCCTTCCACAGTCACTAAGAGATGGAACTGACTCAACAGCACTTATCAACAACAACAAACAAAAGGCAACTTAATTCTTAAATAACATGCATGGGCTGCTGTTGTTATGTGCTGTTGAGGAGAGTTGATTCCGACCCATAGTGACCCTGTATAGGGTTCCTGAGGAGCAGCTTGGTGAACTTGAACCACCGATTTTTCAGTCTAGCACATTAACCCACAGTGCCACACCAGGACTCGAAATAACACGGGAAGGTGTGGAAATTACTTTTTTGTAAATTTGTACTATTTCAAAATTAAACGTCATTCAGAACATGTAACATTCATGGCATATGTGATTATTTGATCAATACTTGCCTCCTCAGACTCCAGACCCCAGGAAAGCAAGGACTAAAGATTTTTTCACCAATATTTCAGTTCTTTATACGTGAAAGACACCCCAGGAAGACTTGCTAAGTGATCATCTGAACAAACAGATGGGTGTGTGGATGGATGGATAAATGATAGATGAATGGATGGATGGGTACCTGAATGAACAGAAGAGTAAGTGGGTGGATGGATACGTGGGTAAGTGATAGATGAATGAATAATGGATGGATGGATAAGTAGATTAGTGAGTGGATATATAGATGGATGGATGGGTGGATGCCAGGCAAGAAGATGGATGAGCAGAAAAGTGGGCATATGGCTAGAGGGACGAACGGCTGGCGTTGATCCACCCCCGGGCCCCTAGCCCAGCTCTACCTGCTGCTGCTGGGCCCGGAGGTCACCAATCTCCTTCTGGTCCTCCTCATGGAGCCGCTTCATGTCCTCCCATGACTGCTGTAACAGGTTACGTTCCCGTAGTAGCTGCCCATTCTCTCGCCTCAACATGTCCACATCATCCTTCAGCTGGGTCTGGTCACTCAGGAGTTGGCTGTGGAGTGTGCTGAAACCCACCACCACACATACAGATGAGCCGCAGCCACTCTGAGCACCTCTCCCCGCCCCCCATCAAGGTATCAGCAGTCCCTCCAGGTACCAATACTCCACACACACCCAACAGAAGGGAGCAAAGCCAGGCTGTCGGCACTCGAAGGGGAGTCCAAGTCTGGCATGAGTCAAATTCTGGAATAACTCAATCTACTTTTTGAAAATCTGATGCCAAAAAAGGCCAAGGTAAGATACAAGCCTCCAACTCATGTCATCCTGGCAGCTCCAAGCACTGCAGCTTGGGCAGACATCAGCATGTGAGCCGGAAAGCACACTCTGAGGAACACCGAGACCCAAAGAAAACCTTCTATGCTGCCATCCAAGCAAACAAAAGATCCAACAAAGTACCAAATCAGTGACCGAGAAGCTGGTGGTCCACATGGCCCACTGCGTACATTTTACATCAGCTTCCTATCTACCATGCTTCTGCAGCAGGCAGTAAGATAATGCAAAGAGTTAGTTAGGGAAGCTGAGGCCCAAGGTCACAGAGACACTTGCTGAAGGCTACCTCCAAGCCCAGAGGTAGCCATTCCATGCGTAGTAGGAACCCTCACCAAGCAGACCCCACTCACTGGTAGAAGTCAGTCTCCTTAGCCACCTCCTCACACCTCTTCAGGGCGTTGGTGTGTTGGTTCTGGAGGCTCTGTAGGTCTGACATGGCCCGAACACACTGGATCTTCAGCCTCTCGTAGTCGGGATTCAGCCTGTGGTAGGGCCTGGCCCAGAGAGGAAAACAGCCCATAATCACATTGACAATCAGTGTCTCTGAACTGAGCACTGCCCATACGTGTCTTGCCTTCTGCACAGAACTCTCCAGCAGTTCCAAAATATCAATTTCCTATGTACTTAAATTACCTGGGTGTTTCACATGCCCAGATGTCCTGGCCTCACCTACACCTTCAGAATCAGGACCCCCAATATGATGGAAGCCTTGGTTGCCTTGGTTCCCCCATGCACCGGGCAAGCTGAGAAGATATATCATCTTGTTTACTGGGGCAACACACACACAGAAGGACCACCCCTAAACTTGTGATGGGCTTCCAGCAGTCCCCACAAGGGGCTGAAGTTTTGTCTCTCTTTAGAACAGTGATTCTCAATCCTGAACATTAAAATACAAATGCCAATAAGGGAAAAATGGAAAGCCGAATTTCAGTTTCTCATGGGAGCCAGATTTTCTGGAGCCACTGAGCCTAGATGAGCCATAAGACTATTGTTCAAAGATAATTTTTAACCCTTCAAACCGCAAACAGGACATGTGGAAGCTGTCGAACTCGTGTGCATTCTGATGTATACATTTTCAACAACAGCAACAAAAATAAAATTACTTTTTTAAAAGCCCAGACCAATTATAACAACATTTCTGGGGGTAGAACCAAGATATCAGAACCTGTAAAACCCCCACCCCCAAGCAATCCCAATGTGCAGTGAAAGCTGAGACTACTAGCCAACAGTGGGGGGTGGGGGGGTCTAGACCACCAGGACCAGGAGCTTGTTAACAGACCACCTGAGTCAGAGGCTGTGTGGGGATGGGGATGGTGGGACAAGAGGGGTGGCCAGAAAGCTGTCATTTCCCAAGTATTCCATGTGGTTCTGGTACATGTTCAAGCTTGAGAGCTCCTTTCCTAGAATAAGGGTTAGCACACTTTTTCTGTAAAAGTTGTTAAGTGCCATCAAGTAACCCTGTATAGGGTTTCCAAGGAGCAGCCAGTGAGCTTGAATCACCAACCTTGCCGTTCAAACCGACCTTGCAGTCCAGCACATTAGCCCACAGCACCACACAATTGTTGCTGTTTTTAAGTGCCGCCAAGTTGGTTCGAACTCAGCGACCTTGTACAGGGTTTCTGAGGAGCGGTTGGTGGGTTTGAACTGCCGACTTTGTGGTTCGCAGTCCAGTGCTTATATCCAGCGCTGCATCAGCTCTCCAAGTAATAAATAGGTTGAGCTTTACTGACAGTACAATCTCTGTGAAAACCATTCAATTCTGCCATTGTAGCAGGAAAGCTGCCATAGATAATATGCAAACAAATGAGCATGGGTGCATTCTGATAAAACTTTATTTATAAAAACAAACAGTGGGCTGAATCTGCTGCGGTTTGCTGCCTCCTACTCAGGAGCCACTGTGCCTTCACTCCTCCTGCCTCGTGACATCTGACTGAGGGACATGGCCTCACAAAAGCCATCTCTGGGGTCAGCTTTCACAGTTCTGACCTCATCCTAGAGGAGCTGCCTTCCTCAGGGCTAGGCACAAACCATGGACTAAAGATGCTCCGAAGGGAAAGAAGTGAAATCCCTCTGCGCTTCCCTCCAGGCCCCTGCCAGCTTTAGCTCAGAGGGATAAATTTCCCCATGAGCTTCCTCCATGGAACCCTCCTGGATTGGGCAGGTGGATGAAGGCTGTCCCTCTTTCCCATCTGTGGTGTCCCCCTTTCGGGTACTTGTGTCTAATCCCAGTGAAAGACAGGGTAAAAGAGTTTCTTCAAAACCAACAAAGAAGCCAAGTAGGGCACATCTGACAATGGGACGATTCATGTGTTTACAAACTACACAGAGAACCACTCAGGTTGAGGGTCATTGGGGATGGTAGCAAGCGCACACACATAGACAGACAGACAGACTCATCAATGGGTAAGTTATCTTTTAGAGGTGGGGAGTTTGAACAAGATGAGGGATGAAGAGAGAGGCTTATTGTTTCAGGGTTGGAAGGCAGAGATCTAGAGGAGGAGTGACAGCCCCAAACCAAGCACTGAGGGGACGGCAATGCTGCCTAGACCACCCGTCAAATGGCCACCTGCAGGAAGGGCTGCGAGGCTGGTTCTCCGTCACCAAGAGATACAAGCACATCACTGCCAGGGCATGTTAGATGTGTGATGGGAATTCACACATGCATGCACAGACCCCCCCACACACACATAGTCACACACACACACAGTGCACACCCCTCTCAATCCTACAACTGGCTCCAGATTTGACTTGGAGGAAATGTCCTCTGTAGACCCGAGGCACTGATCGGGGTGAGTGTGTGAAGACAGCACTGGTATCGGGCTGCGGCTACCTTTTGTCAAAGGTCGCCCCGTGAGTGGCAAAGGCCAGTCGCTTTCGCAGCTCATTCCTCTCTTGGGTCAGCAGCCGCAGTTGAATGTAGAGGTTCTCCACCTTCTCGTTCGCTTGCCGGTCGGTGAGGACGGGTGGCGGGGAGGGTCCCTTCCCTGTGGTACCTGGTGGGAGGACAACAAGGACATGAACATAGACAGACAGCAAGTGTGGTGTGCCAGGCTGTCAGCTGCTCACAACCACATCAGAGGTGGACATGGTTAGCGCCCAATCCACAGGAACGCTGAGCCCCAGAGAGGCTGGCTCTAGCTCCCAGGCACCCAATCACCCACCATTCTAACCCATGTTCTTTACCCCAAGGCCCTGACTTTGACACCTTTAGAAGGACACTGTCTTGGTCGTAAGCAATCTTTGCATCCTCACCTAGGCTGGGAACATGGCAGCCACCCACCCCTGGGCACAGCATCTGCCCAGCAGATGGGGCAAGAGAGACAAGCTGAGAGCTGAGTAGAGCAAAAGACTCAGCCAAAGAAGATGGCACAGCATGTGGGGAAACCAGCAGAGCTCCTGAGAACTTCTGTTAAGTGCTGTTGAGTGGGTTCCGACTCATGACGAGCCTATATAGGGTTTCCGAGGAGCGGCTAGTGAGTATGAACCACCAACCCGTGGCTCAAACCAACCTTGCGGTTGAGTCCTTATCCTACAGCACCACACAAGGTTACGTAACTAGCTCCAAAGTTGGGACCCGAGGGCAGTTTCCCTTTCCCCAGTAACAGGGCTGGACCAGCTGCACAAACTCCATCAATCCTTCCAACTGCCTGGGCACACCAGCTTGGGGGAGTCATGCATGGCGGAGGTGAGCATGGCATGAAACAGAGAAGTCTTGGGCCTCAGGCTGCTCTGCCCACAGCAGACCCTGATCACCTGCCCCGCAGCTAAAAATGCAGGAGCACCAACTTTATGCTCTTGTAAGAAACACCATCTGCTAGCACCGTGGCCTCTGAGATGAAAGCATCTCACTCAAATGGCCTGGGAAAGGACAGAGTGCACTGTGGTTTTATATTTAACTCGGTAAAGTACGCCTCTGCTATCTGTCTAACATGATCCTCGGTGGGGTGAGAGGAGCTGACGTCAGCCATCCCATTTTACGGATGTGATCCAGGCATGCTGACTCACCGGAGGAACACAGGGTTTATCCCCTAGTGGACATGAAGAATGTGTGAAGGGCCAGCAGGGTGTCTTCTGGCTCCCTGTGCTGTCCTGGCCACTCCCACACCACCACCACCACCACCACCCACACACACCTACTTCGTCACTGCTCCAGGGACAAGCAATGGCCTAGACTCACAAAGTTCAATAAACCCTCCTTGTGGACTTATTGAAGAAGTACCCACACCAGGTATGACCTTGCACCTTCCAGGGAGGCCAGGGTGGATGAGATAGAAAGCCAGAGCACAACAGGAGGTGGTACCCAGCACTCAGCTCAGACTTGATGGCTGCTAACAGAAGGCTGGCAGTTCCAATCCACCCACTGCTACTCGGGAGAAAGATGTACCAGCTGGCTTCCATAAAGACCACAACCATGGGCAGTTTTGCTCTACCCTAGAGGGCTGCTCTCAGTTGAAATCAACTTGACAGATTTTTATTAAGCGTCCTAACCACAGCAAGTTTATCAGAATGCTGTGGCTAAGTGCCGTTGACTTGGTTTCGACCCCAAACAACTCTGTATAGTTTCCAAGGAGCAGCTGGTGGGTTTAACCCACCAACCTTGTAGCTAACAATCCAGTGCTTATCCTACAGGGCCACACCAGAAACTCCTTATCAGAATAGCGCAATTTTAAAAAGCAACAATATCAAATAATAATTTTTTCTTAAAGCAACAACATCAAATACTGACAAGGATACAGGGACACTGAAATTCTGAAACATTGTAAGTGGGAATGCAAAATGAAAAAAATCACTTTAGAAATCAGTTAGGCAGTTGCTTAAACAGCTAATATGCACTTAGTATATCACCCAATAATGCCTCTTCTAAGTATTCATCCAAGAGAAATAAAACATGTATGTTCACACAAAACCTAGTGTCACTATGGTTAAGTGCTGTCGGGTCAGTTCTGACTCATAGCAACCCTGTATAGGGTTTCCAAGGAGTGGCTGGTGGGTCTGATCTAACAACCTTGTGGTTGGCAGTCTAGTGTTGATCCAACAGCTAGCTCTACACCAGGACTTCAGTATGTAACTATTTACAGTAGATAAAACTATGCTACATACAATGTGATACCCTTCAGTGGTGAGAAGGAATGAACATCTACTATATGTAACCATATGTAACCAGTGGCTGTCTAATGCATGATGCTCAGTAAGAGAAGCCAGACTCATACAGCTAAATACTACATGGTTTCATTTCTACAGCACTCTGGAAAAGGCAAAATTACAGGGACAGAACACAGCCCAGCAGATGCCAGGGACTGGAGGACAAAGAAGGGGACTTTCTCAGGGTAACAGAACTGTCCTAGACCTTGTGTGTGGCAATGTTTCCCAGCTGCATGCAGTTATCAAGTCATGGAACATGGAACTGTATGACAAAACCCAAACCTCTGAGTCGATTCTGACTCATGGCAGCCCCGTGCACGCTCCCCAGGGTCTTCAACACGACTTTTCTTAAGTAGAACGACAGGCTTTTCTTCTGAAATGCCTCAGGATGGACTCCAAACATCCAACCTTTTAGTTAGCAGCCGACAGCACTTAATCATTTGTACCATGCAGGGAAATAGCCTATAAAGGTAAAATTTCCTGTATGTAAACGAAACCTCAATAAACCTGTATTATAAATTTTCAATTTAGAAAAAATAATGCAGTGGGCTCCCTTGGTAAGATGGCGGACTAGGCAGACATGCTACCTAGACCCTCTACAAGAAAAGACAGGAGAGACCCAATGAAAGAGATTAGGAAGATGGTCTTGGAACCCTGAGCTTTGGCAAAAAGGGCAAAAAAGTGGACTGACTACTGACAAGAACCGGCAGCTAGCCAAAGTGACGAGTGGGGAGGCAGATGGGGCAAGCAGGCTGGCAGCTGCTCTGACGTGGCCCGGCCATTTTGTACTTTTGCAAGCAGCATTCGATCACAACGGGGATGTGACAGTTGGTTCTGCTCAGCCAGGAGCTCTAGAGATCCCACACAGGTGGCTCGCACCAGAGAGGTAGAGCTCCCCCTTGTTCCCTAGACCCTCCTGGTGACCAGAGTATGGCCAGTTCCCCACCCTCAATCATCCAGCAGCCAGTGACATGTGTGCATGAACAGCCCGTTCCTTCCAAGGTCAAGGACCGACCCTAAAGCACCGGATGCACATCACTATGTTTGGAAGAGCATGCTATCTGCCTCTTTGAACAGTGAACAGTCAGCAAGCTGCCCAGGGCCATCCATGGACAGGCAGGAACCCCTTTTGGGGGACCAGCTAATCTGACCCCAGTCAGCCCACTGAGTTGGCAGGCACATTTTCCATGGGACCAGCTGACCTGAGCCCAGACACCTACTAAGTCAGCAGGAAACACCGTCCGGAACCAAGTGCCTTACCTCCAGCTGCCCTCTGAATGCACAAGAATTCTATCTGGAAACCGGCAACTTAACCCCTGCCACCTCATGGGCCAATAGGAAGTCTATTTAGTACTAAGTATCCAGCCTCTCCAAATACATGGAAACTGCTTTAAAACTACTGAGTAATAGCAGAAATAAAAAATGAAATGAAAAAGTTGTCAAATCAAATAAGAATGAAAACATATCAAAATCTTTAGGATACAGCAAAAAGCAGTGCTTAGAGGGTAATTCATAGCAATAAACACACACATTCAAAATAAAGAACCAAAATCAACACCTTAAACCAGTTATCTCCAACAATTAGAAAAAGAGCACCAAAATAAGCCTACAAGAAAAGAAGTAATAAAGATTGTTGTTATTGTTGTTACTATGTGCCATCAAGTCAGTTCCAAGGAGCGGCTGGTGAGTTTGAACCACCGATCTTGTGGTTCAAACTGACCTGGGAATCAGTACCTTAACCCAAAGCGCCATACCAGAACTCCGCATTAAAGATTAGAGCAGAAATAAATGAAACCAAAAAGAAAAAAGCAATAGAATGAAAAAAAAAAAAAAAAAAACCACAACAGAAGTTGATTCTCTGAAAAGATTAATAAAATCAACAAACCACTGACAAGTCTAACAAAGGAATGAAGGAAAATATAAAAATAATGAGTAAGAAATTAAATGGGTGGCATACGAACAGAACCAACAGATCTGAAAACCTAGAAGAAATGAACTAATTTCTAGAAACATACTGCCTACTTAAACTAACAGAGACTAAAGGTAGAAAACGTGACCAAATACATCACAAAAGAAATTGACTAGGTCATTAAAAATTCCCCAACCTGAAAAAGTCCAAGCCCAGAAAACTTCACTGGCCAATTCTACCAAACATTCAGAAAAGAACTGACATCAATTTTACTCGAACTATTCCAGATTACTGAAGTGGGTGGAATAGTCCCGAATTCATTTTATGAGGCAGGCACAACCCTGATACAAAAACCAGGCAAAAACAACACTAAAAAAGAAAATTACAGACCAATATTCCTCATGAACATAGACACAAAAATTCTCAACAAAATCCTAGCCAATAGAATCTAACAACACACACATATGCATATATATAAAACAACCTACATCCTAGCCAAGTGGCCTTCATACCAGATATGCAAATATGGTTCACCTTTAGAGAGAAGATCACATAAATAACAGAAAAAAAAAAAACCACACGTGATCATATCAATCATCGCAGAATAAGGCATTTAACCAAATCTAACATCATTCCTGATAGAACTCAACAGAAATAGGAAAAAAAGGGAAATTCCTCAAAATAATTATGGATATACGTACAAAACCGACTTAACAACAACTCACTATACAAAACAAACAGCCAACACTGATCTCAGTAAAGAGAAACTGAAAGTGTTCCCTCTTTTGAACAGGAACCAGACAAGGGTACCCTTTATCACTACTTCTGTTCAAGCAAGACCGTGCTGGAAGCTATTAAGCCATGAAAAGGAAATGAATGGCCTTCAAAATGACCACAAAAAAGCAGCAGCAGCAGCAGCAGCAGCAGCAAAAATCTCCCTTC